GAGATGAATGAATGAGAACATGACGAATAAGATGGTTCAAGAAATTCACATGATGTAGTCATAACAAGAAATATTTAAGTATAGTGTTAGAAACTGACTACACCTGGTACAATTGCAGAGAAGGGATGCAGGACATGTTTAACAGAAATTTCTATTGGAGGTTGCAAAGGGAATTTTTTTAATTTCATGATTTTGTTGTTAGACACTGTTAAACTAAATATGAAAACAATTAATTGCTTGAGCTAACAGAAAGGGTTATCAGAGAGGCAAAGGCTCCAAAAGGAGGAACAACCCTACCTAGAAACTTCTTGCAATAACATTATCAAATAGCTCAAATCTTTTTCTAAATGAAATACTAGAACCAAATTTCCCCTCATGAGAGAGACTGGGGGTGTGTTTGGTTTGTTTTTGAGGGAGTGATTTTCAAAAAAAAAAAAATTGGGGAGAGAGTTTAAATATTTTTTTGGTTTGTTTGGTTGTATTTTTTAAAGTAGTTTTGGAGTTTGGAAGTTTAGGATGATTTGATATTTTGTTGTAATTGAGGGGATGTGTGTGAGAGAAAAAGTGATTGAGAAGGAGAGGAGAGAGAAAAAGTGATTGATTGATGTGTAAGAGAGAGTGATTTTGGAAATTTTTTGAGAAAAATCACAAACCAAACAAAATTTTGGATTTTTTTTTCGAAAACAACTCTCCCAAAAACAAACCAACCAAGCCCCGTGTTTCTAGGTTTTTCACTCCGTTTGGATTGTGAAGGGAGGTGAGAAAAGAAATGAGTGTGGTTTCTCAACGAGGTGAGAAAAGAAAAGAAAAGATAATACTTTCTCACTATTATGCTTGGATGAATAAAAGAGAAGAGAATGTGGTTTCTCACCTATCTTGTTTGGATAGAGTAAGTAAGAAAAAGGAAAAGAAAGTATTTTATTTCATTTTACTAAAATAACCTTCCGTATCAACAAGTTTCGTTTTTTCATAAGGGTGATTTTGGTATTTTAAACAAATTTCATTAAGTGAAAATTAGTCTAAGATCCCTCTCCCATTTTAAATAATGGAAGAGATTTACGATATTATTTTATGATGTCTAAGGTCCCTTAACCCCACACCTATATATCACAAAGAAATTTGACTCCCTCTCTCTCTGCGATCTTCATTCTAAGGCGAGTTCATTTCTCTCTCTCCAAACCAAACCCTCTCTCTCTCTCTCTCTCTCTCTCTGCACATTCCTCTCTTTCTCTCTGCTCCTTTCTCCTCTCTCGGTCTTCATCTCCGACACCACCACCACCACCCCAACATTATCATCCCGCAGTCGCCTCCTTGCCTCATCGCTGTTTTCCGTCGCAGCACCGTATATAAGAGCAAAACAAATTCCATGGGATTGAGCAGAGATAAAGACCATGTGTGGTCAAAAAGAAAAATGAAAATCCTTCTCAAAAATTATGCAAAGCTGGAAAGACAATACCTTCTTAGTTGCATCTAGAAGATCATTGTAGTTTAGATTCCCATCTGGCATAGGGGTTGAGAAAATGGAATCAAATGAACACTGGAATCAACAAAGGCAACTATCAAAATGCCATTCTCAAGCTCAAAGATGTCAAACCAAGGACTTACATACATAACTTCACTTTCATCAGTTCAATATTTCAGATTGTAAGAAACTATGGTAATAATAGAAAGGTCCATGTGCACCACATGTGAACTTTAACTCACCCTATCATATCTTTTCCTATTCTCTTTCCGTAACCATCCCCATTCACTCTCCTACCATATCCTGCTCCTCACAAGGTATCCAACTATCTCCCAAAAATAAATTATTGAAATTCTCATTGTACAAAAAATTTTTGAGGGGACTACAGAATGGGATTAAGACTAATTGAGTTCTACTCAATAGATATATTCTAGTCCCTTTTCTATATCCAATTTTCATACTAATCCCTCCTCGTTACTCCTTAACCTAAAACATAGACTCCTAAATACCCAAGGATCTGCCTGTCCCCCAGAAAGCATTCCGGAACTCGAGTAATCTTGGATTGTTACAACCATCAGAATAAAACCACTTCCTGCTGGGCTAATTGACCAGAGTGCACAGGCAACCAGAAGACTTGACATGCTTGTGGCAGCTCAATAAAACCTCCAATTCTCAAATAAAAGACTCAAATACATAGCACCCCAAAAATCAACAAACAGCAGGAAAAGGAAAGGGACAAAAGATAAAAACCAACCGTAGCCATTTCCTGTATATATAGAGCACTCCAAAGTAAAGTGGGCTTCACTTCTGCATTCTCACTTTCATCTGTGTTGCTATTTTCAGGTGTTCCAGAAATAGGAACTGAAAAAATAGCATTTACAGCAGCATGCAGTGATTTTTTTCCTTGAATGGCATCATCACACAAAGTTGAAAGATACAAAACATACCTGAACCAAAAAAAAAAAAAAAGAAGGAACAGTATAAATCAACTGACGCAAATTCTTCCCCAACATATATCAACAATTACTTGCAACAAATCCAGAAGCCAATAATCATAACTCCATATTACAATAACAGTGAATATTTTCATTCACTGACTAAAACTTGAAACAAAAATATAAAACTTTAACAGTGTGAGCTCAAACAATGCAAAGTTAAATAACTTGATTGGGTAGCCACCAAAGGGTCAGTCAACATATGGGGGCATACGTTATTGCTATGATCAACAAACATTCTATCACTAGATACTACCCTATTTAATCATTAATTGATGGCAAATGCCAGCCACCACTAAAAGTATATAAAAGGCGTGGACAGGATGGTTCTAGGGCACGAGACTTGATTTAGCATACGTTGGATGACCAGGGACCTACTTGGGATATTTGACTAAACATGAGTTGGAACATATATGGCTTTGTGGGCCTCCTAGTTAAATGAAGCAACATTTAGAAATATTTAACCACATGTTTTTATTCAATGTATGCAACCATTAATAGGTTCATTTCATTACAACAAATTTATTCCGCCTATACCTCTAGGAAATAGGAATAGACTTCTGCACCAAACACATGCTTTGTGAAGTCTATAAATAGATGTAACATCAAGAATTTGAAGCATGACGAATGAATGAGAATACAAAATTTCCCAGTAGCTTTCAAGCTAGTTGTTTGATACAATCTTATTCTTTGGTGTGATAGTAAAAGAGGTCCTAGGTGTGATCCCTAAGGTAATCTTGGCATGAGGCCTAGTTGTTCTTAGTACATAAAATGATCTTTTTTCTTTTGGGGGTAGACAAAGAGGACACTCCCTAGTTCCTTATTTGAGAAATCTCCCCTAAAATAACAAACTTAGGTTAATATCAGTAAACCTAAAAATGCACGTCCCTGTTAGCATAAAACAATTAGGAAGTGTTTTTAGGTACAAAAAGCAAAGAAGATCCTATTCAAATTCCATTTTGCTATGCAATTCTTATTGAAGAATTAGCACAGATTTAACCTAGCTGTCAATCAGACATTCCTGCAATCCGAATCAACTCAAAAGCATGCAAATTTTCTGTGCACTTATATAATGATTACATTACCATTACACCTTAGGACAATATGGAAACGGAAGATCAATTCATTTAAAAATTTCATGCGACGTATAGTTGTGCATTGAAATGGTCTAGCATAAGTCCTCTTTTGTAGGCCTAGTTCTCAATGCTCCCACTCTGTTCATTTCACTAAATATTAGGTTTAGCATAATTGTCAAAATTTTGAAATTGATTAAAATATGTCAACATGATGAATGAAAATTTAAATCCTCATCAAGAGCATGCTACAGACAAACTTACCAAAAAAGAAAGTGCATGCAATGGGTAAAATATCTTTTTCTTTTTTTTTTATTTCTTCAGAGAACTCCAGCCGACTGACCCCGTCATCCAGTAGAAGGCCTCATGAATAAACTTTGGCTACACGCAATCACCCGCAAACTAGATGTATCAGTTAAGCCCAAGTGTTTTGCGCCCCGTGAGAATCGAACATGAAAAACCTCTGGAAATGACCCTGTAGTGGAGCTCCCATATGCAAGATTGGTGTGCTATTTAAGTTAAAAGAAGCGTTAAAAATAAGATGTGCCATCCAGTTGAAAACAGGTTGAGCATCTCAACTGTGTACACGTCAGAAAACAGACCCCTTATTGATCTTCTCTCTCTTCGAAAAGAAAAATAATCCAATATGCAGCCCATTATGAAAGCAAGATGGTAGAAGAGCAGTTCACGGCTAACAATAGGTTCTTTTACTTACCTTTATCCAATCACATAATTGGATTCGCAGGCATGATCCAACCAAACCTTTACCTATATTTCTAATCAGACTTGCACACCTAGATATTTTTTAGATGTATCTAACATCTCATCCCTTAAGACCATTCTTTGGTTTGACAAGAAAATTTAACTATATTTGAAAATTGCACCATCATAAACAAAACTTCAAAATAATTGCCCCCAATTTTGATACACTCTTATTACATCCCAATTCATAGACAAACTCACTGTTAACAAATTTGAGATGCTAAATCCAACGTGTTAGCGGCTGATATTGTACAGTATTGGGCCATTAACGAGAGACAACATGCTAATCAAAATAGTTTTCCAGTCATGATAGCATGACCAATCTAATTCAAAACAAGTACAGGGTTATCAAGGGCCAAAAAAAAATTATTAATTTATTTATTTAGTTTCTTCTTGGTATAATAAGCCCAAGCACAATTACACACTAAACGAAAGATTAGGCTCAGTACAAGGTACACACAGAATTTGAATAACAATGCATATAATAACACATTCCATTGATAAAAACAAAAAATACCTGCAACAGAAAATAACAAGAGCTATGAAAGGAAGAAATAAACATTTAATTCAAAAAACAAGTGAGAGAGAAACGAAAATAGTAACTAACATGCCAGAAGGACAAACAGCTAAACTGCTACCTATCTGGAGAACTCTGATTGACGCAACCTGCTCAGGGTACAGAGCTGGAGAGAAAGAGTAGTCAATAGTATGTTGTATTTCACTCGTACAAATTTACAATAATAATTGGTGCATTGAACTCACATTTAGGAGGATATACCGCCAGAAAAGTTGAAGCATCTGGCTTTAAGGAACTCTTTGTTATGCATATTCCCCTAGCCACCTTACCCCTAAAATCTTGTAGGCCAAAATCTTTTAATTTAGCTTGCAGGATATCTGGGGAAGATTTAAGTAATGGTGATGGAACAATAAATGATGGACCCAGGATTATCTGATGGCTGAATAATTCCTGACCAGAAGCCACCTTAACACCTTTGTAACTCCCACTATCCTACAAAATTTTCACAAGAACATGACAATGGAATCCATTTCACTTTAAAAATACTAAAGCTCAATTTACGACAATCGTTCATTACAGAAAATGAACACAAAGCAAATGTATATATCCAAACCTTGTCCATTAGTAGAGCATTTACTGGCATTCGAAGAACCTACACAACAGAAGTTTAAATTTAAACAAGAATTATAGCTGGTTGAAGCAAATACAACATTTCTACATCAAATGAATATTAATTTAATCCAATCAGCAAAAACAGTATTAAAAATCAAAGAAGCCACAAATAAAATGCAATATCAGTAGCAGTGCTCCACACACAGCATGAAACAACAAATGAAATTAAAAACAATTGCTATTTTTTGAAAAAAAAAAAAAATTCGCTATCACCGATACTTTCAGCATTCATATCTGGCACAAAAGTAAGTGCGAGATGAATGAATGAGAACATGACAAATAAGATGGTTCAAGAAATTCACATGATGTAGTCATAACAAGAAATATTTAAGTATAGTGTTAGAAACTGACTACACCTGGAACAATTGCAGAGAAGGGATGCAGGACATGTTTAACAGAAATTTCTATTGGAGGTTGCAAAGGGAATTTTTTTAATTTCATGATTTTGTTGTTAGACACTGTTAAACTAAATATGAAAACAATTAATTGCTTGAGCTAACAGAAAGGGTTATCAGAGAGGCAAAGGCTCCAAAAGGAGGAACAACCCTACCTAGAAACTTCTTGCAATAACATTATCAAATAGCTCAAATCTTTTTCTAAATGAAATACTAGAACCAAATTTCCCCTCATGAGAGAGACTGGGGGTGTGTTTGGTTTGTTTTTGAGGGAGTGATTTTCAAAAAAAAAAAAATTGGGGAGAGAGTTTAAATATTTTTTTGGTTTGTTTGGTTGTATTTTTTAAAGTAGTTTTGGAGTTTGGAAGTTTAGGATGATTTGATATTTTGTTGTAATTGAGGGGATGTGTGTGAGAGAAAAAGTGATTGAGAAGGAGAGGAGAGAGAAAAAGTGATTGATTGATGTGTAAGAGAGAGTGATTTTGGAAATTTTTTGAGAAAAATCACAAACCAAACAAAATTTTGGATTTTTTTTTCGAAAACAACTCTCCCAAAAACAAACCAACCAAGCCCCGTGTTTCTAGGTTTTTCACTCCGTTTGGATTGTGAAGGGAGGTGAGAAAAGAAATGAGTGTGGTTTCTCAACGAGGTGAGAAAAGAAAAGAAAAGATTATACTTTCTCACTATTATGCTTGGATGAATAAAAGAGAAGAGAATGTGGTTTCTCACCTATCTTGTTTGGATAGAGTAAGTAAGAAAAAGGAAAAGAAAGTATTTTATTTCATTTTACTAAAATAACCTTCCGTATCAACAAGTTTCGTTTTTTCATAAGGGTGATTTTGGTATTTTAAACAAATTTCATTAAGTGAAAATTAGTCTAAGATCCCTCTCCCATTTTAAATAATGGAAGAGATTTACGATATTATTTTATGATGTCTAAGGTCCCTTAACCCCACACCTATATATCACAAAGAAATTTGACTCCCTCTCTCTCTGCGATCTTCATTCTAAGGCGAGTTCATTTCTCTCTCTCCAAACCAAACCCTCTCTCTCTCTCTCTCTCTCTCTCTGCACATTCCTCTCTTTCTCTCTGCTCCTTTCTCCTCTCTCGGTCTTCATCTCCGACACCACCACCACCACCCCAACATTATCATCCCGCAGTCGCCTCCTTGCCTCATCGCTGTTTTCCGTCGCAGCACCGCCACATCTCTCTCTCTCTCTCTCTCTCTTCATCTTCTTCTCCGATCAACTCCTTCCCCATGGCGCCACCCCTTCCTCCACATCCTCAACAGCGACTTCTTCTCCGACGGCGCAGATCTGGTCTAAAAGCAAGGCGGATATTCATCTCTACAGTGATCATTTCTCTCTCTCTCTCTCTCTCTAGAATTCTCTCGCTTTGTTTTTGTTTGGTATATCTGTATCGATTGTTGTTATGGCGAAGTTGACTCTAATTTCTTGAAACGAAAATGTTAAGATTAGCGTTGATAATTTGAGTGCAAATCCAATTGATTTGATCAAAAAATGAAACTAGGTTTCCTCAATCAATCATATGTTTTGTATATATACATGTATATTTACAATGTAGTTTGGTGACTTTATATAATCTTCATCAATTTGGTTTAAATGTTATAAATGTTAAGATCATTTTTAAATGTATATAAATGTTGAGATCATTTTTTTTTTATGTTTTGTATATAATCTTCATCAATCTGGTTTGGTGACTTTATGTTTTTTATGTTTTGTATACATGTATATAATCTTCATCTCTGGTTTTTTTTTTTTTTTTTTTTTTTTTTTTTTAAGTTTTTTTTTTTTTTTGGATTCAAGTTTCTCTAGTTTGATCAAAAACACAAAGAAAATTTCTCTGGTTGGGAGAATTTCTCTGGAAATTCTAGAAATTTCTCTAGTTTGGAGAGAATCTCTAGGAAATCCAAAAAAAACTAAAGAAATTTGCAAACCAAAGAAATTTGTGCAAACCAGAGAAATTTGGAGAGAATTTCTCTACACAGTGGGAAATCTAAAGAAATTTGGAGAGAATTTCTTTTGAAAGTCCATCGAAATTCTCTGGATCGATGTGTGAGGGACCTTAGACATTATAAAAATATTGGATGAGGGACCTTAACAAAAAATCCTCTTTCATTAAACCCAATTCTTTTCTCACCAAATCTCACCACTTTTGGTGAGAAACAAAACACAAATCTGGTGAGAGTCCATTTCTCACCATCTCTCATCATTTTTCACCTTACTTAACCATCCAAACAAGTGAAGGGCTTCCAATTCTCACCATTTCTTTTCTTTTCTCACCAAACCCCTCCATCCAAACAGAGTGTTAAGCTTACAACTTAGTAAATCTTATATGTGTCTTTCATTTCCTTGTAATTCAATATGAGTTTGCATTTAAGAGGGAGATAGAATAACTGCTTATAAAAGAGATTTCATCAACCACTTCAAGAATTCAGCAGCAATAAAACAAAGGTATATAAGTCCCAGCAAGTACTTGCATTTTCAAAACGAAATCAGGGGCTAGGAAAAGAAAAGGGTTCAACAATCATGATAAGATGATGATGATGATATGGTGCTATAACTTTTCTGAAAAGAACTCCGTCATTAGTTTCTATGAGTTAAGTGTAACATCACAAATGTAAAAAACTTGAAAAAGATGAAAATGTAAAATGAGAAAATGAAACAAAGTTAAAGCGAAAAGTAAAAAAGCAAAAATGTTGGATAAAATTAAAGAAATTAGGACGGTACAAGTCATTATTGTTTTAGAAATGCATCACGAATGATAAAGACAAAGATGTAATATGAAAGGAGACCAATAGTTGGCCAATCAAAAGCACAGAACTTACATATAGACAACCTTTTACTGCAGCACGGCGGCAAAAGGCCTGAGGCAATTCCCCTTGACCATAAATAGGGTAAATCAAAGCCCCAAGTGCATTAGAAAACCTGACAAGGATGAGGAGAACAATAATTAAGATTATCAGAGATTATTAAAACTCTTTGTAGAGGCAAAAAAGGGACAAGATTGGGAGGAGAGGGAGAGAAAGAGAATAAATGTGGAGTCGTCCATCAAGATGGTTCACATGATGACCTCATTACAGCCTCACAGGTATAGGACATAGTCATAGAAAAGCACTAAACTTTCGTTGTCATCTAAGAAGCACGGACACTTCTAAGAAGGTGACGTATTCGTGTCGTATCCGTGTCGGACACCGATACCCTTTGGACACTCTCAGGACACGTGTCCGACACTCTTCAAAACGTGTCCTATTTTTAAAATTTTTTTAAAGACTTGGACACTCTTTGGACACTTGAAGGACATACGTGTCCATCGCTTAAATACAAGTGTCTAACAATTAGACATGTGAAATTAATTATAAGTTTGAACAAAACAACTTAAGATACAATAATAAAACAAAAACTATATAAATTTATAGGAATTAGTATCATATTATATTTTTTATTATCTTTTTAATGATATATTCATATATATAACATATAATAAATATACAAAATTACATATTTCATGCGTGTCCCTCACGTGTCGTGTCCTACATTCTTTGAAAATTAACGTGTCAGCGTGTCCGTGTCGTACTCGTGTCGTGTCACGTGTCCGTGTCCATGCTTCTTAGGTTGTCATTATGCATTCAAGCTCATCAAACACTAATACTAAAAAGATGTAGCACTAGTAAGCTTTTTGCTGTAGTATCTAGCCATTTTAGAGAAGTATTGCTGATTTCACCTTTGAAAGATAACACTTAAATGGAAAAATCTGTGCTTTCAGTACGGTCATTATTACATCATTTAATAATCATTAAATTACAAAAAATCGCAAAATTACATTGTTCCAAAAGCTTGTTAAAAAGGACATTACAACTTGTCCCGCAATATACGGTGCTGGGATAGATGCTCCAAGTACTGGCCTAACCTTTCGCATTTTTTGCACAAAGTGGCTAACCTTATACTCAAATGCACATTCAGCTCCCAAGCTGTTATTGTTCCACCAAGCAATGGCCCATCTATGAAATTTTGTTGATGCAATTTTATTTTGTTTCTTTTGAAAAGGTATAGGGGATCCAAGCCATTTTTATTTATTAAATAAATAGAATGTTCCCTGAATCTTATTAGTCTTTATAAACTTTTGTGGATTGTGGATAGAATAAAAGGAAAATTCCTGTGGTTACTCAGTTAGTCATACTTAATGTACTCTTTATAATTTTTTTTATCTTTATTCTATACATCTAGGGGCAAGTCTAGGGTCCTTTAATCATTTTTTAAGTCGCAAGTGCCACTCATCTTCTCCATGTTTTCCCATTAGTTTTTACATTTGCGGTTTTAATGACAGGGGGGCAGTTTAGAATTGGTTGAAGTTCTGGTAAGAGAAAAAAAAAAAAAAAAAAAATCATCCAATGTCTTTTAACCTTCAGATTTTCTATTTTCAAGAACATACAACATTATCTTCATTTTCTTTCTTTAAAAAAACTATATGTCATACACTTAGATGCAGACCATTTTTAAAGTAATAGTGGTCATGGTTACAGAATAAATGTTTAACCATAAACAGAAAGAAGAACCTGCCCACTGATGAGTGGTAAAGTGCTAAACGATTTATTCCATCTTTCGTCTTCAGAAAATCTTTACAAACTTCCATGTTGTCTTGATCATAATCAGCCATTGCTATTGCATACAGAATAGTCCTACATGGAGAACGGTTATTTAAGTTACTCAATTCATAATACAAAGAGGGAAAAAATAGAGGGAAAAAAATAACTTTAGCAAGGAATCCTAAATGACCATCTAAACATATGATTGCATTGAATTGGTATGAACTCGATTAGACGAGAATATGTCTTCCACTAAAAAGCCAGCCATTGCATAGTTTACATGGAAGCATCTATCAAAAAAAGCCCTGGCTTTTTCAAATTCTCATCAAATCAAAGAAAATCTCAAAGTAAAGAGAAGACAAGGCTTAATGCAGATGTGTTACAGAGTTGTAACTGACATTATTGACGCAAAAGAACATCTTAATAATATCTTTTAAAAATGGCCATTGCATGGATGGAGAACCAGTATCCCCCAAGTATATCGTTAACACAATGCTTAGGTGAGTTGAACAGATGAAGAACGTCCCTATCCACCTATTAAGATATTAAATGTAAAATATGGTATATTATCAGGTGAACTAAATCTCGAATCTGCCTTCATGCAGGTATAATGTTAAAAAATATCATTAATTTTGCAAAGGAACAAGAAAGTTTACACTGTTGAAAAGTGAAGGCTCGATTTGGTTCCAGATAAATGAGGGGGGAAATAAAAGGAAATTGCTAATAAATGGCTACATTTCTCAACATTTCCCGTTCCTTCTTCTTTCCAACATTCAGACATGGGATTTATTTTTTCCTTTTTCTTCACAAACCAACTAACCAAACGGCCATCACACAATGGAACCAAGAAGAGACGAACAATTATTATATTTCTTCTCAAATCCATTTTCACTAAGGAACCATTTCCTTAACAAGATAATGGTGGAAAATGTAAGGAAGAGAAGAAGGGGAAAAAAATCAAATTATTCTGGCTTCTAAACTTAGATTTTTGTTTCTTACCAAAAAAGCAGGGAATTGTTAACACAAAATTTTCATCAAAATAAATTTTCCTTTCTTTAACTTCACTTTCTAGCATTTTCACTTTACATCACACCATTTTCTTTCTAATCGAAAAGACTCTAAAGCCAAAAGCAACCCCCTCTATGCCAAATCAAAAAGTTTAACCCGGTAACCTGAAATTTGCAAAGCAAAGTAATCACTAAACATACCATGTCAAACATTTTTAGGAGAAAACAACACCAATATGCTTACTGAATTACTACTTATTGTATACTGAATTGTATGCATCCACTTGCATATATATGTATTAATTTTCACATAACCTGAAATTTATTTGTTTTTTTAAAAAAAAAAAAAAAAAATCATACTTTGACACAAATAACATAACAATGAAATAGAGCAATTAACAAGGACATAGAAACAGAACAAGAACTCTCACTAACAGATAGAGAAAGGCAAATACGATTTAATCTTTGGCGGCAATCGCAATTTGTTCAAAAAATCAACGAACGGACTCTCCAAATCCTCATCAGAAATCCTACCACTCTCATCACAGCTCTCATCACCACCATCAGAACCAACAACAGCAGCTTTCAAATGCCCATCAACAAGCTTAAAAAAAATCCCCAACCTCGTCTTCACAGCTAGCCCTAAAGTCGTATCCGAAAATATTGCCGATCGCGAATCGGGCACACTCGACAACTTCCCATCGCCATCGCACACAAAGTTGGCATCAACACTCTTGAACTCCATGTAGTGACTCGCTCCCGATTTGAGCATGAGATCAACGGCCGAGTCGGCGCAGAAGAAAACCCTAGGGCCGGCCAAATCGAGGTTAAATGTTCTGGAATGTTGGAGGGGTTCGGGGGAGTGGGAGGAGATGTCGAGGTCGGAGTACATGGGGCTAGAGGAAAGATCGATGGCGATGTGAGAGATGGTGAAGAAGAGAGAGAGACCAGAGACGGTGAAGAGGAAGAGAGATGTGAGGAATGGAGAGAGAGAGAGAGGGTGGGAGGAGGATTGGGAATGGAGGAAGGAGGTGAGGTCGGAGAGAGGGAGAGAGGAGAAGTGGGAGCCGTAGAAGGAGTTGGGGTCGAGGTGGAGGACTGTTTTTCCGGCAGCGGAGGAGGCGGCGGCGAGGACGGATTCCGGGAGGCCGGTGCCGACGATGATGAGGTCGAAATTGGTGGGGTCGATGGGTGGGTAGGACAAGCTGTCGTCCATTGCAACGGAGACAAGTGTTGGGGATGTCTGTCGGCGTACTGGACAGTGCGTGTGCTGGACTAATTCGCAATGCTCAAGGACGTTGGATGCGTGGTGACGAAGGAATAGTGAGTAAGAGAGAGAATATAGAGAGTAAGAGAGACAATATGAAAATATGAAATATATTCAGCTCAATCAGTGAAAATACGATCAATCAGTGAAAATACGACCATCGAGTGTGGTCGTCCAGTGGCGAAGCCATTGCCTTTTTACAGTTACGAGTCAAGTTTAATTTTAGAGTTTCGTAAAATTTTTAAATTTTTCAGAGGCTCGTTTATGTGACTTCGCGTTGTGCTCCGGTCGTAGCTTGCCCGTGGCTGGGACGGTTGATGAGCTCCACTAGTGTCTTGGTGGTAGGTCCCTTCCTATGAGTTGGGTTAAATCAGGCCGGCAACCGGTTACCCTGGGGCCTGGGCCTGCGGAGGTCGTGATGCCCCCACAGAACCTCCTTTTTTTTGTATTCAAACAAAATTTCGAATCTTATTTCAAATAAGGACAATTGAAGATACTATTGGATTTTTCAAAGATAAAATCGTCAATTTGATAAAATATAAATTAATTTGACAAAAATAAATGTCAAAAAATTATTTTTGATTTTTTAAAAATTATTTCTACTTACTAAAGATAAAATTATATAAAATTGATAAATCTTTTAGACATTTATTTATTTTTTTACCAAATTAATTTTTATTATATATTTGGATGATGATTATGTAAAATTAATTTTTAAAAATTAATCATGTAATTTTTATTAATTTTTATCAATTTTACATAATTTTATTTTTGGTGGGTAGAAATAATTTTAAAATATTTTTTTGACATTTATTTTTGTCAAATTAGTTTATATTTTATCAAATTGACAATTTTGCCCTTAAGCAATGGTATTTTCAATTGTCCTTATTTGGAACAAGATTCAAAATTTATGGTCAAATGTGTCACAATTGAAAAGTCGGGGACTAAAGTGACACAAGCCCCAAACTATAGGGACTGTTAGTATAATTTGCACTTTAATCTATAGAAGGTGCACCAATCAATCAATCAACATATATATATTATTATATATATATACTTACTAACAGTCCCTCACAAACTCAAGGTGAAAAGACATCAACCATCATGAGTTTGAAAACTAAATCAGTGAAACGTCTGGAAAGATGAGCCTTGGTGAAGATATCAGCATTGATCAGCAGAAGCAATGGGATGGAGATGAGCCGTTCCACGAATAACATGCTGACGAATAAAATGACAATCAATCTCAATATGTTTAGTGCGATCATAGAAGACGTCATTATGAGCAATTTGAATGGCACTGTGATTATCACAATAGAGAGAAGTAACTTCAATAGAAGAGATGCCCATGTCGGCAAGAAGCCAGCGAAACTACAAAAGTTCTTGAGTAGTATCGGCTAGAGCGCGATATTCAGCCTCAATACTAGAACAAGCAATGAGAGTCTATTTCTTGCTACGCCAAGAAATAAGAGAATCCCCTAAGAAGAAACAAAACCCAATAGTAGAATAACGATCAGTGGAATCCCCAGCCCAATCAGCATCAGAATCGGCATGAAGCTTAAGCGAGGAGATAGTGGAATAGTAAAAACCATGAAACAAAGTGCCTTTAAGATAGCAGAGAATGAGAAGCAGAGCATCATAATGTGGCGTTCAAGGAGCCGTCATATACTGACTGACAATGTGAACAACATATGCAATATCAGGATGAGTAATTGTAAGATAGATAAGGCTACCAACGAATTGCCGATAGAGGGTAGCATCAGAGAGAAGAGTGTCATCTAGTGGAGTAAGGCAAGCCTGAGGATCAATCGGAGTAGAGACAATCTTGCAATCTGTAAGTGCAGCGCGAGCAAGAAGATCGGAAGCATATTTGGCCTGAGAGAGATAATAACCAGTTGAGTCATGAGAGATTTCATGACCCAATAAATAATTGAAAAAACCAAGATCCTTCATCTCAAAATGGCGGCTAAGGAACTGTTTGAGGCCAAGAATACTAACCTCATCATCACCTATAATAATCATATCATCCACATAAAGAAGAAGAAGAGTGGTGCCGTGAGCAGTCATCCAAATAAATAAAGCAGAGTCATAGGAGCTGGAGGTGAAACCAAAATCATGAATAATGGCACTACACTTGGCAAACCAAGCACGTGGAGCCTGTTTAAGGCCATATAAAACACGTTGTAGTTTGCAGACTTTATATGGCGGAACTGGAGACCCAGGAGGGGGTTTCATATAAACCTCCTCAAGAAGATCTCCATTGAGGAAAGCATTTTTCGCATCCATTTGAAAAAAGCCCCAATGACGAGCAACAACAACAACAATCAAACTACGGACAGAAGTGAGGCGAGCAACATGAGCAAAAGTCTCTTCATAATCAATGTCATATTCTTGAGTGAAGCCCCAAGCAACCAGACAAGCTTTGTATCGCTTAATGGATCCATCAGAATGAGTCTTGATTTTATAAATCTATTTACGACCAATCGTAGTCTTACCAAGTGGAAGATCAACAACAGTCTAGGTATGAGCTTTGTCTAATGCCTGCAATTCATCAATCATAATTTGCTGCCAAAGAGGGTTAAAATTGTCCTCACGATAGGTAGTAGGCTCATAAGCAGAAAAAGCAATTGAACCAACAATATAATCACGAAGATGAACATTAGATTGGGTGACTCGTTGTAGACGACCCAAAAGGACTCAAGAGGGGATGAGCCAGATGAAAAAGACTTAGCAAGACCATCAGGACCATTAAAGAGAATAGACTCGACGGGATCAGGAGTAAGCAATGGCGTCTCTGGAGGTGGATCATCAGGAAAATGATCTATAGAGGAATCAGTAAAGTGAAGAATGGGAGCTGGAGAAGATAAGTGAAAGGAGGATAAGGAGGAAAAAATTTTATGTTCCCAAAAAACAACGTGGCGAGAGATACGAAGACGTTTAGAAATTGGATCCCAACACCAATATCCTTTATGTTCAATGCCATACCCAAGAAAACAACAAAGACAAGAACGAGGTTCTAGCTCAGTGTGTTCATGAGGCTGAAGAAGATCAAAACATGCAGATCCAAAAACCCTAAGTGCGGTGTAAGAGGGGGAATTTCCATACAAACACTCGTAGAGTGTTTGATTATGAAGGACTTGAGTAGGGACATAATTGATAATGTAAACAGCAGTAAGTGCAGCTTTCCCTTAAAAATTTTCAAGACAAGAAAAAAAAATGAGAAGAGCTCGAGTAGTATCAAGAATATGTCTATATTTTCGTTCAACACGTCTATTTTGTTGGGACGTGCCGACACAAGAACGATGAGGCTGAGCACCATGACTCTGAAGAAAAGCCAAAATTTCAGAATCCAGGTATTCCATAGCATTATCAGAATGAAAATTTTTTATGGTTTTGGAAAATTGGGTTCGAACCATTTTTGAAAAATTGTAATAAAGTTGTTTAAGTTCAGAACGATTTTTCATAAGAAATATCCAAGTATAGCGTGAAAAATCATCAACAAAAATAACAAAGTAATGTGATCCCCCCACGGTAGATGTATGGGGATGGGCCCCAAATATCAGAATGCACAAGATCAAAAAGAGCACTAGAAACATAATTACTTTTATTAAAAGATAAAGTCAGTTGTTTGGCAAATTTATAAGATAAACAATCCAAAGTATCTGAAGAGACAGATCCTAACTGGCCACTAGAAATTAAAAAATTTAAACGACTAATTGATAGATGACCTAACCGACAATGCCAAAGATGAAGAGGGAATAAGGTAGAGATAGATGTAGAGGCAGCCAATGGAGTGGAAGCGAGAACATGAAAATGGATGAGTTCATAAAGACGTCTATGCTTACGGCTGATCCTAAGTATCGGTCCCGTCCGAGGGTCCTGCACCAAACAAACATTAGCAGAAAAGGTAACAGTGAGACCATGTTCACATAACTGACTAATGGAAAGAAGGTTTAAAGTGAGAATAAGAATAAGATAAACATGAGATAAAGACAAATGAGATGTAGAAACAGAACCAATATGACTCACTGCCATGAAAGGTCCATCAGCAGTATGGATAGAAGGAATATGAAGAGAAGAAAATGTAAAGGAAAATATGGTAGAGTCAGAAGTCATATGATTACAACAGGTAGAGTCAAAAATGCCAGGAAGATGTACCTGAGGTGACAGACAAGGCAGTAGGAAGAGGAGTACCGGAGGTAGAGAGAAACTATTTGTTCAAAGTTTCAATGTCGTTCTGGGAGAAGACAGGGGTTGAATGATCAAAAGGTTCAGACTGTGAGAAGTCCTCAAAGGCAGCAGTAGTAGTACGATGAGCAGGCATAGATTGAGACTGAGGTCCAGAATGATGTGAACGTCCCTGTGAGTAAAAACCATAAGAAGATGACCCAGTAGAGGATGGGCGAAATGGACTGCGAAAGCAATATTACTGGAGATGTCCGGGGCTAGTTTTGTTGCAGTAGCAGTAAGACCTGACTGAACAATGAACTAGAAGATGAGCAGAAGGAAGCCCACGATTTTGACAATAAGTTCACTAAGGAGTCGGTTGTGTGAAAGAACCTTTGACTAAGGAGTGGCCAGAATTGAGTCCACATGGGGAGTGGAGGATGGACCAAGACGAGTTTCTTCAGAGAGAAGTTCAAATAAAGCCTGCTCAAGAGAGGGCAAAGGTGTACGATGTAGTAGGGCAGCCCGGACTGGCTCAAAGTGAGGAATGAGAGCCATGAGAAACTGAAACAACCTCTGCTGATTGCGAGAAGTGATAAAGAGAGAAGCATCCTCAGGATGACGCTAGATAGGTTCAGATAGAGCAAGTTGATCCCAAACAGAATAGATTTGAGACAAAAAGTCATTAATGGACTGACCAGGTTGTTAGCGCAAGCGATGGAGGTGGCTCCAAAGTTGATACTGATGAGCAAGACCAGTAGTCTGATATCATTCTTTGAGGAAGTCCCAAATATCTTTAGCAGGTGTGGAGACCGAGTTAAGTTGAAAGTCGCCGAACTGAAGTCTAATAGATGTAACAGAGGTATTCTTGAACCAAGTGATGATCTGATAATTTTTACTATCCTATTCCTCCAAATGGTCAGCATA